GGGGTTGATACAGCATGGGGGTGAGTAATTAATGACTTAATTTTCATTTTTGGGTGAACTAACCCTTTAAGTGTCTTGCTCAGGTCTCTCACACCAAAGGCATGTGTCTTATCCACTGCGTCATCACCACCCCACGGTGCATGCAGGTCCAATATCACATCTTAGAATTCTATTGCGATCTCTCTTTAATAGTCTATCCTTGAATACGTCTTGAGGGCATGAATAAAAAATTATAATCGCATCCGGATGGGTAAACATCTCTCCATAGATCTAGTATGCCCAACTCTGTCATTAGGACACTAATTTTCCTATGTAATGATGTGGCGGCCGTGTTTTTTGATCAATCTAATTTTGGGTTGAGACGAATGTTCCAGTCCCTGTAATAATACACCCTTGAAAATCCCATTTCTTTAACTTTTTATGTTCTGCTTTCATGTGTCTCTTGTAAGACCACAATCTGTGCATTTTCCTTTTTCATTTTTGATAGTATTTGACTTCTCCTAGCTGGGTTCAAAATTCCATTCACATTAAATATAATAACTTTAGGGATATGCTTTTGTTTAAGGATATGATTTTGTTTTCTACGTTGATTAACACAATCATAACCTCTCCCGATGTCTCTACTGATGTTAAATTTACACAATAAGAGTACCTCTCCCAAATAATTGACAATAAACAAAAAAAAAAAAACTGTGACCATTTTAAACAAAACCCCACCGTAACGAATAGGAAAAGTTGTTTCCGGTGTTGAGGCTCGTTTCAAAAGAGCCTTGCAGGGCTTTATACGGTCCAAGCCCCAGTAAGGGAATAACCCACATTGTATAAGTCCTATACTAGTTCAAAACTAAATTGTAAATAATTTAGTGAAAATAAAACAAATCGTGGACAACTCGCCAATTTACTGGTCCCGAATCCTTCAAATAATTCGAAAGTTAAACTGTAAGTTAAAGTTTAAACAGATGTATAAAGTTACATAACAATCAAAAGGTGAAGAGTAGCCGTGGGCATCAATTGAAACTTAACTGCATTTCTGGTTCGAGTGTGAAAAATTTAGGCTCCTTTCTTGGGTGATCATTTTCTAAATTTCTGGATATTTTTCTTTATATTGGGAATGAGGGGTTTGTTGGGTTGTGTGCAGCTGTCCGCAACGCCGGATTCCCGTTTTCCGCCTCGGTCAAAGGTGTGCTGAATTACTTGTAGTTTTCTTCACAGACATATTTATCGCATCCATCAACTCAGCCACTGTTCCAATAGCCGGCTACTTTGAAACATCGCCAGTATTCCATAATGCCATAACCGCTAAACGCCAACTATGTTCTTTGACCTCAGTTTAGCATTAACCAAATCCTCATTAACTTAGTTTTAAAACAACAACTGCAACAAGGCCTTGGTTTTTAGAACTCCCCTTTAGGTTAGTGCTCTGGCTATAAGGAAGTATTTAATATTGGTGGCATAATAGCACCTGTTCTTCCTATGGAGGCTTAAAGAGATCAAGCCAGTATCAGGAAAAGTCCCCTGTTAAATGACATGACACTTTGAATTCATGGACAAATCTGCTACAGGTACATAATGCTATCATGGACCATACTGGACCAGGAGTGTTTCTAGAATGTTGCTGAATCCTTGTCATTAAAAATGTGCCCCAAAGAGCCATTAAAGGGTTAGTTCACCCAAAAATGAAAATTAAGTCATTAATTACTCACCCCCATGCTGTTCCAACCCCGTAAGACCTTCGTTCATCTTCGGAACACAAATAAAGATATTTTTGATTGAATCTGAGAGCTGGATCAGTCCTACATAGACTGCCTAAGGGACTGGCTCTTGACGGCCCATAAAGTCATTAAAGAAAAGTTTTAAATATTTCATGTGCCTACAGCGGCTCAATTATATGTTTTTCAAGCGACGAGACTACTTTTTGTGCGAAAAAAAAACATAAATAACAACTTTATTCGACTATTCCATTACTTCCTTATGGGCGCATGCGCGAGAACTGAGACGAGGACGTTGTCCTTCGACTACTTCTTGTTACCGGCTGCTCACCGCTTAGGAGTATTACCGCCACCTACCGTATAAAATGATGATCCATATATAAGGCGCTCCGGATTATAAGGAATACTGTCATTTTTTGAGAAGATTAAAGGCTTTTAAGTGCACCTTATAGTACGGAAAATACGCTAATTGAAAAGCGTATGTACAGCGTGCATCTTCCTCTGCTTGTAAACAGAAAGTTTTGCGCTTCCAGTTATATCAGCACATCATCTTATACGGTAGGGGGCGGTAAAACTCCTAAGCGGAGCAGCCGGTAACAAGAAGTAGACGAATGAGAACGTCCTCGTCTCAGTTCTCGCGCATGCGCCCATAAGGAAGTAATGGAATAGTGGAATAAAGTCGTTATTTATGTTTTTTTCGCACAAAAAGTATTCTCGTCGCTTGATAAACTTATAATTGAGCCGCTGTAGGCACATGGAATATTTAAACATTTTCTTTAATGACTTTATGGGCCGTCAAGAGCCAGTCCCTTAGGCAGTCTATGTAGGACTGATCCAGCTCTCAGATTCAATCAAAAATATCTTTATTTGTGTTCCGAAGATGAACGAAGGTCTTACGGGGTTGGAACAGCATGGGGGTGAGTAATTAATGACTTAATTTTCATTTTTGGGTGAACTAACCCTTTAATATTAGAAAGGTGTATCTATTAGAATGACCTATGAGAGTATGTTTTGCATAATGTTAGAGATCACTTGTTGAAATAGACAATATGCTCTGTTAAAAAAAAATGGGTCTCAATGAAATAGTTTAGATTCTGAGAATGCACTCCCTCTCACCCCTTTTTTATTTTTTTAAAGAAGCAGATTACAGAAGTGTGTATTCCGTAGAATCCGGATATCTTGCTATTTTGACCTAATGTTTAGTAAGTTTGCTGTTGTTACGTGCTTGGCCTTCATTTGTGCTGAGAGTAACACGTTTTGTTTTCTTTCACAGAAATCCGAGATTACTGTTCTTCCCATTCCGCAGCAGATGATCCTTGTTGAAACGGAGAACGTCCAGCCAGATCTTTATAGGCAGCTGGGATATCCTATGAATTCAGACAGTAGTGTGATTGGCCAGTCACAAAACAAAAGTCATGATTGTCTGGCCAGTCATAAAAGAATGATTATCTGCACAATACTAAATTAATTTTACAGGAAAATAAAGCCTTTTAAAACTGATTACCAGTTTTCTTCAAATCTCAGATTTCGAAAAATATTTTTTGAGAAGGGAGATTTGAAATATAGTTTTGTAATTTCTAAAATAATGTATCTAAAAAAAATTCCTATTTAAAATGGATTTAAATGTAGAGCTCAACGACGCATGTCACGCGGAGCTGTACGTGAATCCGAGTTTGCAAAGTGCCAATGATAAAAAAATGAAACAGAAATATAATTATTACTATAATTAAATGGACATGTTTCAGCAGACCAGGAAGAGTTATGATGCTTTATTATCAGAAAACATTTTTTTCTGTCATTATGTTTAATTTGGTTTTGAATGCTTTGTAAAAAAAATTGATAATAAATTCTTTAAGACATCTGGTCTGATCTTTACTAAAGCTCTTATTTGTTTAATTTTTTTTTTTTTAAATGAAAAAACATATGCAATAGCACCTTTTATAGTACACTCACCATTAAACCTTTTTTGATTGTTCTGTGTTATATATCATAACATGTCTGATATACTTCAGAGCATTTATTGTTCTTCATGTATTATTCATAGTGCTACCGTAAGTACTTTATTCAAATCAAGATTTTAGGGAATTTCCATTTTCAAGGTGGTGTCTGTTAGAGCAATGCTTGTTTTCTTATGAGTCACTGTTAAGTATTAAGTGGTCTTTGTGTTTGGGCTGCATCCAAAAGCCAATTGATTTCCTTTTATTCACAAAACCGTGAATGAGAGAGACCAGAAATGCAGGCTCATGCTAATTTCGCTGCATTTCAAAGTTTGGTCAATTCTGCCTTGCAAATTTGTTTTTGATTGAAGTAAGACGTATGCCCAATAGAAGATTGATATGTCCCGCCATGACCACTTACCTGATTTTAAAAGAACACAAACTTTAAATCTGTAGGATTGCAGCATTGCTGTAAAGTGGAGTAGATTGTATATTTTTACATTTTGGATGTATGATGTTAGATTATGTTTCCAGATTACGATTGTTGTGGCGTCTGTGTAGATATTTCAACATGCCCAGTCTAGTGTGACAGCTGCTTTTATGCAGTAGTATTTCTTTTTGTATTTAGATGCAAATCACTATCAGACCAGCCACCCCGAAGCATCTGCCACGCTTGATCACACAGCTGCCATTTTGGATGAAATAAATATGTTTATTTACACTTTTCATTTGCTTCATCACATGCCATTTTTGCTCTTAACACCAACCACTAAACTGCACACACAGGATTGTGAACAACATATCTAGTGCATGCTGCCTTCATAAACTGACTGCAGTAGACGGTTGTTACACAAATACTGGATTCGTTTGTGCATTGGTGCTTTCCTACTTCCATATAATCTAATAAAGGCTCCTTATTGGCTTTGATAGTTCTATGGAGAACCTTTAACATCAATGAAAAAGTTCATAAGAATATTGAAATATTCTTCACAGTAAGAAAAAAAATGGTTCTTTGGGGGAATTGCTTCAAAAAAACAAAAAACCTTTTTGAAACCATTATTCTCAAGAGTTAATACTGCCTGCAATTTCGGATACATATAAAATAAATATTTTGTATATATAGAAGAAGGGAACATATTTATTTTTTGGTATTATATTGGTAAGGGTTGAGATCTGGCATGTATACATTGAATCTCTTCCATATAATTTCCTAGTATCAAGAGAGAAGTGAGATGGAGATGTGGTCTCTTGATTTGTCCATACGCATCACATCAGCAACATTAGTTTTCTTGTGGAAAAAGTACAAGTGAAACTGTCCTCACCTGACCTGGTTGTCCTTAAACTTAGTGTAGTGCAAAGCAGACAAATGGAATCTGCTGTGGTTTTTACCAGAGCTTTTGATCCAGGAACAAAAGTACAGATAAATTGGCATTAGAATAGCGAAGAGGAAATAAAGCATTTAAATGAGTGTGTCTCTCAGCTGCTGTCCAGTCATGGTTCCCTTTGAGGACGTGCTGTTTCAGGTGAGAAAAGTTTTACAGGTTAGCCCTGGCCTGCTACACAATCTTCTCAGAGAGCTCCACGAGGCCAACGTCTTTTCTACCAAGTATTACCAGTCTCTCTATGAAGATGGTGAAGTTGAAGAGCAGCGTTTGTGTGAAGATGTCTGTAATGATGGAGAATATCTGGCCAGAAGACTCTCTTTACCTATCTGGCAAAACTGGGACATCAGCCAAAGCATCCTGGATTCAGCTCTCAGAAAACTGGACGATTTGGTTCCTTCTGGTGAGTTAACATCTTTAAATGTTTGTTTGTTTTTATTTCCATTTTTTGTGCCTGCTTACTGTGGATTTATATTATTTATAACATTTATTTTACTTTATTGCCATTAATTGCTCTATGAAGATTCAAGGAACTTTTCCATTGCACAACTTTCTTTGTAAAAAGGTTTGGTAATACTTTACAATATGGGTGCATTAATATGCAGTAATGTGCACAGATATGCATTACCATGCCATGCACAGATAATTGTGAGTTAATGTATGACTTTAAACATTAATGATTAATTATTGCCACATCAGTAAATAATAAAGAGTCATCACAGATTAATTCCCTCTAGTATTAACTAATGCCGTTAATATTTGCTGCACATTATTTACATTTTCTTAAATATGTTCATGAACCAGCCAGAAGAAGATTACCTGATTCTTCGAAAAAAAATTTGGCCCCCAAATTTAAAATGAATAGTTTAATAGTTATATAATAGTGTGTGTGTGTGTGTATATATATTATTTGCTTTTGCAATTAGTATTTGGATAAAGAACTTTCTATAACTATGGTTGAGTCGCTGACAGAAATGCTTCATTTAATAATTCATGGTCAATACTAGACAAAATCTGTTTTAATTTATATATATATATATATATATATATATATATATATATATACTATTTAACAAAAATCTTTTCTTATATTCATTTCTCAATCACATGATAAACCCCTTTTCTCCACAATGCTGCCTTCCTCCTAATTAGTGCACACCTGGTAAATATTATCAAAGATGGCTGTAATAATAAATCTGTACTTTGATTTTTTTTTTAAATCATTTTGATCATCAGTTTATCATTTTGATCTTTTATTTAAAAGTCCGTTAAAATTTCAAACCTTTCATTGAAGTAAAAGAATTGAAAGTGGAGTGTAAATCACATTATGAAATAAGTGTTTTTCTTTAAAGGTGTGGTATAATGCCCTTTTCACAAAATGTAAGTCAAGTCACAATTATTTATATAGCGCTTTTTACAATACAAATTGCATCAAAGCAGCTTCACAGTGATAACATGAAAATAACACAACACAGATCAATAATATTGTTGAATATTAAATGCCAAAAAGCCAAGGCAACAGTGGCAAGGAACCAACTCCATCAGGTGACTGAATGGAGAAAAAGGGAGAACCCAGGCTCAGTCGGGCCAGTTCTCCTTTGGCCAACGAAGGAACAATGTGATTCGGGTAGCATTACAAAACAAATTGTAAAATAAATTTGTGATGTTGCCAGACTGTGTATGCTAAGTTTTAGCTCAAAATACCCTACAGATATTTTTATATAGCATGTTAAAGTTGTCACTTTTTGAGAGTTGGCAAAAACGCACCGTTTTGTGTCTGGCCCTTTAAATGCAAATGAGCTGCAGCTCCCAACACAGTGGGCGGAGCTTAAAGAGTGTGTGTGTGTTAGCAGCTCCGATTTCCTCATGCAGAAACTGTTCTGCCTTTTATATTTAAACCGGAGTCAGACAAACATGGAGAGACTAAGAAGAATCAAAAACATGTAGAATGCAACAGGACATCTCTGAATAGTTAGTTGATGAATTTATGTCGCTGATGTGAAGTTAACTGTGATCAATTAGGATATTTGTCAGTATAATCTATAAATTGCTCGTATAAGAACTGTTGTGACATGCACACAGAGTGACTTTCTATTGCATGTGAAAAGACGGATGCTACAGTTTGAGCAGACTCACAAATGTCCTTGACTAACAACAGCTCTTCCTCTTCTCAAAATGGACTGTGTGTTCCCGGGGCAGGGTTTATGTAAATTTTAGGGTTAGTGATGTCACTAACCCGGGAGGAAGCTTGTGTAGTCCCTACCAGCCGTTTGTTGTAGTCCTTAAAAAAACGATTTCTTTAAAAGCAAATATCTCCCTTTGCTCTGAACTTTGAGCATTGTAACTTTGCAGATGTTGTTTATGCTCAAACAGCAACATTACACACTAACTAAAGTTAGAAAAGTGAAATCATAATCAACCACCCCTTTAAAACACGTAGGCCACAATTATTGGCAGGGCCCCTTTTTTTTAATACTTTTTGCAGCCTCCTTTTGTCATGATAACAGCTCAGAGTTTTCCCCAATAATGCCTGATGAGTTTAGAGAACACCTAACAAGAGATCAGAGACCATAGACCTCTCCAGGGGCCTCGTGTGGCCTATTACCATGCACGATATGACGACATAAACATCAAGGCATAAACAGATTTGAAGAAAAAAAAGAAAAGCTCACACAACAGACAATGGAAAATCCCTGGCACTCCAGGGTGGAGCATTACCACATACTGAGTGCAAGGCTTAGAAGAACGTTAAGTATGTATAGTGAATGAGTTTTTTTTTTTTCCACCCACCTCCACCGCCCCCCCCCCCCCCTTCAGAGGACAACTTTATTTATATATATATATATCTTTTTTTTTTTTTTTTTTTTTAGATATACAGAAACTTATATCTTTTTTGAGTACATACACAATATGTTATCTATGTGGTGCACAAATTATGAGCTAGTTTGGGCTGATTGTCGGATGCTAGACTGGTCAGTTTTTTTTTATTATTATTAATAACAAACAAGATACTGTAGATACATATTTTAGAGTTATTTACCGTGTGTCATTAAATTATACAATGTTACATAAACCTGATTAGGCTTTCAGAAGACTCAAATAATCTCTGCACTTCTCTGTGACACTTGAAGAGTCTTTGGCCACTCAACTTTCCTCCTCGCTGACTCGCCAAAGTTGATAAATATAGTTGATCGGAACTTCTTAATTATTTCCTTGGTGGAAATGGGAATTGTCAATGCTTTAGCTATTTAACAATCTTTTGCTGCACATCAGAACTATATTCTTGGGTTTTACTCATTGTGATGAATGATTAAGGGAATTTGGCCTTTGTGTTTTCTCATATTTATACTTCTGTAAAACAAGAAGTCATAGCTACAAATGTCATGTTCCTAGTCACCCTGGTGAGCTAAATAATGTAAATATCAATGAGAATGGGAATATACTTCAGAGATATTTTACTCATAAAAAAATCCCCCACTTTCAATTCTTTGACTTCAATGAAAGGTTAGATTTTTGCAATTCTTGAAAAATACTTTATTAAATGTCTTACAGTTTTGAGCACAGCAGCAATGCTACAGGAGGGTGTGAATAAACATTTAAAACAACACTGCTGGATACTAGTTCTATATACTGACCACATTTACACTCAAACAGAAGAAAAGTGTCAATGAGGTTCTATATTGAACCATAGGATCCTTGACTAAATTTTAAAGAACACTTCATGCCAAAAAGGTTCTGTATATGGACAACCATCTTAAATGATATATGAAGGGGAAAAGGCTGAACTGTCTGACAGAACCCATTAAGCTTCTATGCTGTATGTGTTGCAACATACTGCTTGACAGGATGCACCTGTAACTACTGTAGATCTCTCGCAGATACTATATAGAGTTGCTTTCTTAGCACGCTGCTATGTGTGGCATGAAGTCTGAAGGGTTTTTTATATGCGGATCGCTGAATAAAAATAACACGGAAAGATGTCACAATTCAACCCAAAAGAAGCCGCTGTAATATATAATTTTATTCAATAATTCTTCAATATACAATATGAGATATACAATGTATTGTAGGCTACTGTAAGATGTGGTGTCACCAGCAAACCAGGCAAGTCTGTGAGACAGTTTCATTTATAGGGCAGTTTCTATCATGGGCAGTGTTGATAAAAAAAACCAAAGCAACCAAAAGTTGTCATACCAGTCTATGCGCTTTCCTTTTTTTTTTTTTTAGGAGGAAGATGGCATGGAATGTTTGGTATCTTTTGTTTTGGAGCAGGGAACTTCACTGTTAATGGCAGGATTTGCAGAGGGTTTTTTTGTTGTTCACGGAGATTTTCGGAGGTTTTCGGAAATCGAGGCATGAACAGATGTTTTATAAAGACCTGTGTGTGAAAAAAAAAAAGAAAAAAAAAAGAAAAGGTCACACAACAGACAATGGAAAATACCTGGCACTCCAGGGTGGAGCATTACCACATGAGTGCAAAGCTTAGAACCTTGAGTATGTATAGTGATTGAGCAGATATTTTTTTTTTTTTTTTTTTAGCTTAATAACAAACGAGATACTGTAGGTTACATAGGCTATTTTAAGGTTTCTTACTGTGTGTCATTAAATTAACCTCTTTTAACGAGTTTGTTACTGTAACATTGACTAGACAGATCATCAGGGTGAAACACATGACAGTGAAATATTTCAGTAGCCTAAATATTATATATTATCATCATCATCTCCATCATCAACTTTTAATTTCAACATCAGATTGAATGTCCTTCGTGTGAGAACATATTTTCTAAACGACCAATCGGGAGGTGAGTTTGGTTTTGTGCCTATCCAAAGCAACCCCCTTTTACATACTGAAAGTAAAAGTATGCAGCCTGTTTTGGTGTTTGCCAGACAATGCCTCACCCGTGTAATCTGAGGACACGTCGTGCGCATTAGAGCTGATTTTCTTAACAGCTTTAATGTGATGGAAAAATAATTCTGAGTAAATATGGACTGTATCAGTGGAACAGGTAAAGTTCAAAGATTTTCATTTATTAGACTACAATTAAATTATAATGCGTTTTTGCAATGTAAAACATATTTTACTTTGCTCCATGAAACCAGTTTTCTAACAAAATAAATGTATAATCTGAATTGTCAGACAAATATATATAAGAAACGGGGTTTTCCCCTCGCAGTTATTTAATTTCTTGCAGAAAGAGTGCGCGCTCCTTGCGCGCGCTTCTTGCGCGTCCACACTATACGATGAGTTTTAGGCTATACCTCAGGAAATTGTAACAGCATATTTATGTCATGATTAAAAACATGTAGGCTAATATAATGTGTCACTGCGTTGCAACAGATGCTGAATTGCCAGATATTGTCTCAGACCCAATGTCTGAACTCTTACCTGGTGAGTATAGCCGTAGATGCAGTCATTTTAACGTGGTAAACAAACGTAGCCCTATATTTGACATTTGAGTTGAGTTTTCTAAAGAGATTTACCTTTTGTTTTCACAGATAATGTCCTCCTAGAATATCTTGAGTCCATTCAGAGTGAATCTGAAGAAGCTTTTGGTCAGTTTCACTCATTGCCCTGTTTAATTGTGTGTATATAAATAGGCCTATATAAATCATTTTCTTCCTTGTTTTGGCAGATCCCAACTTCCTTGATAACCTCAGTTCTCTATGTAAGACTCCCTAACTTAATATTATTTGAATAGAATTATATTTTTCAAATTGTAGGGGAACCAATGAATGTTTGTTAATGCATTTGCACCACACTGTTTTTTTTTTTGTTTTGTTTTGTTTTTCGAAAATAAAGTTAAATGCATTTTGTAATATCTTTCACATCTGCTTTACAAACAGTTGACCCTGACACAATTTGCTCACAAACAAGCCTAGGACTAGGCCAAGAAAATGCTTCTTTGACAAACAAAAGGTCAAGAAAGCGAAAAGGTAATTTTATTTTTCTCTTAGATGTTCTCTTAAGAAATACCTGTATTGAAATTAGCAAGTAAGAGTTATGTTTTCTATTGATAGTTGATTCACCTTCAAACAAAACCCGCACAGATACTGATGGCAAACCCTTGTGCAAACGCAACAAAAAAGGTAATTCAAACATCACATGTAGCATTGAAACAGTACAATCATTGTTAGGGTTTAAGGGTCAGAACCAGGAGTGTTGAATTATTTAACTCCTAAACTAGTTTTAAACATATATGGCTAACTTATTTTGTACTTCTGTTTTAAGGAACACAATTTGTGTGCGTATATATTGTTTTTAGAACTCTATACTAAGAAAAGGAAGTAAACATATTTGTTATAAATGTAGCTCTCTGTAACAACAAAACCACAAGTGAAACATAATGATGCAAACCAAAAATCATGTCTCTGTTACAGCAACAGCGTGCACTGAAAGCCCCTCAAGAGGAATAACACCCACCATTCCATCCCAGGGTAGTTTCCAGTTGAGCTCAAACACAATTCAAAATATTTTACATATTCCATTCAGACACCTTCCTCTGCCCTCTAGTGGTGAGTTTTATAGGTTTTATTTTCATATTGTACATGCATTTAAAAAAAAAACTACAGTAGGCCTTGGCTTTGAACGTTGACTATGGCTCTTTGGATCACTCAGGTGGTTCAGCACTACAGTTCATCCACAACATCTGCCCTTTAACGCCCCCTCTGATCGGCACTGTGGTTCCGACATGGCCCACGTACGTGCTTGGTGAGTCCACTGCTATCATCATCAAACGGCTGCATGTGCCTGTTTGTTTTATTCACTGAATCTCTCCTTTCACTTTCACATCAAATGCAGTGTCGCCCCAACATGTGAGTCCAGGCCCTCAGATACTTCCACTTTCACCTGGTAAGATGTTGTCTTGTGGATATTTAAGCCTCTTTGGCATGGGTTGTCATTTTCCTGTGGAGTTGGGCTATTTTTAGACTGTTGACGTGGATAAATGTGCATAAACTGTATTTGACTGAAATAATTGTATTAAAATATATTACACATTTTACATTCTACCAATGATAAAACTGTGCTAGATGAGTTTTGTGAGGGAGGGCCACTGGTAGGGTTCGAAAACAGACTGTTTATGATTACTCCTATATAGTGATTTGTATTTTATACATATTATAAAATAAACATTTACATTTACATTTTGTCATTTAGCAGACGCTTTTATCCAAAGCGACTTGCATCTGAGTCATCGTGAAGAGGCAATAACAACACAAGAAGTGCTCAAAATATGTATTAGAGTGGGATATTTTAAGTTTTGATATTTGGGATAGGATTATTGTGGTAGTTTTGGGCTATTTTTGAGTGGACATCAAGTCAGATTTGTTATGCAGACCTGGCATTCCTGGTTTTAGCAATACTGGTGTGATAACAGAATTCCTTCTTTTCCAGCTGATGGCACAGTTGCCCCACCGGAGCTCACGGTTTCAGTGCTCCCAGTCGGCTCATCCTCAGACCGTGCATGCAAGAGTTTGCCATCAGTATCTGTAGACACACTATCTCCTATAAAAGGTGAGTTCAGGATTTGAGGACAGCAAATGTGTGTCTGTGTTTGGTTTCATCTAATGTAGATAAAGATAAACAACAACTAATTCTAAACTTTTGAATCATCATGGATTTTTTCTTTTAAAATTATCATAAAAATCATAATAAAAAATGAAGAAATTATTGTCTTATTTTAATATTTTTATTAAATATTTTGATTCCAAGTCATGTTTTATTTTGATAGAGACATTCTGGTAATATCAGCGTGTAATTTCTGCAGCACTAGCATCACCAGTCGGAAAAAATAAATTACAGATTTGTTTGAAAAGGTAAAGATGATGGGAAAAATGAGAGTCATGTACCGCACTAAGACACACGGGTTGAAGATCCAAATGCAGTTTTATTGAAGGGCAATCCAAAAACTTAATCTAAAAGAAAGGCAATAGGTCAAAACAGCTGTTGTGGACACTATTTGTTCCGGTGAAATCACAAAACAAAATGCACACAAACGTGACCTGATATGAACGTACTCTCCTGTTCGAACTCGTTCATCAAAATGAACAAATCTTTTTCAGTGTCAATTTGTTCGTTTCATTCATTGAATGAACCAAATGACTTGGAAAAAGATTTGTTCATTTTGATGAACGAGTTCGAACAGGAGAGAGTCACAAACGCTCATCACAGAACAGAGCATGGCGAGCATTTGAGCTTATAAAAATTAAACTTTGTTATTTATTTATTAAATGAGCGATCGTTTCGCTTGATAAGACCCTTATTCATCGTCTGGAATCGTTTAAGGCCCTTTGAACAGTTTGCAGTTTGTACTGAAAGTGTCTTTTGGTCCTTGAACCGTTTGGTTCCCACTGAAGTGCATTATATGGAGAAAAATGCTGGAATGTTTTCATCAAAAATTTCTTTTCGACGGAAGAAAGAAAGACATGGACATCTTGGATGACATGGGGGAGAGTAAATTATCAGCAAAAGTTTTTTCAAAAGTGAACTACTCCATGCAAAGCACGCGTATCTATGGATTTATTCACATGGAAATTCTCAGTACTAACAATGTAGTAGATAAACAAAAAAATGAAACCCAATGTACGATTGTATTGTATTGAATTGTATTGTTTTGCGAATTACAGAAGGAAACCCACAAAATAACACTGATTCCCCACCTTCCAAAACCGAAAGGAAAATCCGTCCAGAAGCACCAGGTAAGACAACTATTTAATCATTGCGTAAGCCTGAAAAACTTGATTAGACTGTGGGAAACATGATAAATGTTTATTTTACAGAATGTGTTAAAGATTACATACATCACGTAAAGTCCCACATGAGAGATGTCTGCTGCACTATGCGTGGGGGAATGGGAATGGAATCACACTACGTGGATGTGCATCTGATCCAGAGGAAACTCCTTATCAAATCTGGCAAGAATGCAAACAAGTGCTTAGAAAAAGAGCTGGTCATCCTCAGTGATTCAGAGCGAAAGAAAGCAAAGTTGGACAGAAGTCAGGTGTTTTGTAGCAGTGATTCCAGACCTAAACAATCTGTCGCTCTCCTCGGAAAAGCCGGAGTGGGGAAAACCACGTTCATTCAGCGTTTATGCTTGGACTGGGCGAGCGGCAGCCTGCCTCAATTTCAGTTTGTTTTTTTGCTGAACTTTAAAATTTTTGACCTCACACAATCTAACCACAGCTTGAAAGGGTTACTGTTTGATTTGTCTACATCCCCCTGCTGTGAGGACTCAGATTCTGTGTTCAAACACATTCTGTCCTGTCCGGATGAAGTTCTCATTATCTTTGACAGCTTTGATCACATTAAAGACTTTGAGGGGCTTCTTCAGTCCCCTGCTAAATCACCAACAGACACTAAATACACCATCAAGCAGCTTTTTTCGGGTTTGTTCCAAAAGGAAATCCTCTCGGGCTGCACGGTTCTCATCTCCACAAGGCCTAAAGATGTTTTAAATCAGGTGCTGCGAAAAACCGACTGCCTTTTGGAGCTTGGTGGCTTCTCTCCTGAAGACATCGAGTTGTATACATCAAAATATTTTGGGGATTCTTCCCTCCAAGGGAGTGCACTAAAAAAGATTAAGAATCAAAGCTACATATTCAGTTTATGCTCCAACCCGCTACTTTGTTGGACCACCTGCTTCCTGCTCGAGCACCAAGACAGTCGCGGTGATAGTTTGCCTTCAACCCTCACAGACTTGTACCACAGAGTGACCTCCAAGCATCTGCAATTGGCTATTCTTGGAAACAGCTCATTATGTAAGAAGAAACAGCCCGACATTCCACAATTGTGCAAAATGGCATGGGAGGGATTCAAGAATCACAATACACATGTAAACCCTGGCAGTTCAACTGAGCTGCTGAGCTGCGGTCTTAAAAGTGGCATACTTGTATCCTACGAAACATCTGAACGCCAAGAAAACCACTTTGCAGACCTCTTCACTCAGAACCTCCTGAGCGCTTTGCACTTGGTGCAATCTAAACAGGTGAATGAAAAAATGGTGGTGGCAAACTGCATAGTCCAGCAGAAGAAACGAAAGGTTCAGGGAGAGTCGCAGGACGTCTTGCAGAGGTTTGTCACTGGATTGGTCTTCCAGACGGCACCTGATAGAGGAAGCATCCTGTCCAGCAGTGTCAACATAAAGGCCAAAAGAAAGGCTGTTGAAGCCCATCTGGAGAGAATGAAGCCTAAAGATTTGGTTCCTGCCAGGTTATTAGAACTGTTTCATTGTGTTTATGAGACCAACAGAGCCAAATTTGCCAAACTGCTGTTAAAAAACCTGCCTGAAAATCTGTCATTCTGTGGGGCGCAGCTTTGCCCTTCAGACGTGTATGTGATATGCCATCTCCTCCAGCATGCCAGCGCAATGAAGCGGACCTTCTCCATTAACCTGCAAGATACATGCATTCCCATCAGTGGCCTGAAAGAGCTTGTGGGACTCAAATGTATCGAATCATTCTGGTGAGAAACTGCATTGCTATAAGAATTCACTTAAAAAATGGAAATTGTCATCATTTATTTACCCTCCACCGACAACCTGTATGTGAAAATACAAAAATAGAAAAGTTAAAGATTGTTTTAATTCTAATGCAGTTACAATGACATAAAATTGAAGCTTCAAAAGGGATGTAAAAGCACCTTAAATGTAGTCTTTTCTCTATTCCAAGTCAATCAAAAGATTGCGTGATGATCGGACTGAAATTCAAGCAGTTATTCATTGAGTCAGAAAGATTTTAAAAACGGCACACAAGTTGTATTGACCACTTTAATGATACTTCAGATCCTCTGAGAAGACTTTTCATTTTAATTCCATGGAAAACAGAATTTTTATTGTATTTGGTTTTTTTTTCCATCAGGGCACATACAGCAGACACCATTGGCTTATGGGAGGACTTGCATCAAAGCAATGATGAACTGAACCTGAAAAAAGCCATTGAGAAATTCACCTTGAACCCATTCAAGGCAACACAAGTCTATCACATAGAGAGCCTGCCTGGCCTTGTCCGAATTCACAGAGAGAAGAAGTTACCAATGAGGTACAGAATCAATTTTATGTTGATACAAGCACATCCAATGACAATCGTCATTAGTCTGTTTTTCGATTACAATTGTGGCATAAAACGGATGATGTTGTTAAGGACTATGGCTGTATTTTCAGTGAATGTGTTCCTGCACTGGATGAAGGTGTACCAGCACTCCAGCATCTGCAGAGATTAGAATTTGAGTATGAAAATCTCACTCTCATCTTTTCCTGCTCCTGCATTTAGTTTTCCCTTTATCATTTTATCCATTCAGTGTTGCTTATATTGGGTTCTGCATTGTAGGCTTGGGGTCCAGAATGGTCCAGAACTTTTCCCCAAACTCATCGAGGTCCTACCTTCTCTGCAGTCTCTCCAACATCTTGAGTGAGTATTCTGCGGTGGATTTTTGTCACAAGTTGGATCAAAACTAAAGATTTTAAGATTTATTTATTTTTTTTCAGTCTTGAGAAAAACCAAATAGGAGACTCTGGAGCTGAGAAACTATCTGGCGTTTTACAGTTTTTGACATGTCTGAAATTGCTAAAGTAAGTTTTGAAGCATTTATGCCCTTAAATATAACACATATATATAGAGTCTAGAAGACTCAATTTTCCAGATGATTATTATAACTTATAAAGGAACTGTCACAACTGCACTGCTGACCAATGTTCCCACCATCCAGTCTGTCTCAAAACTTAATTGGAGATGTCGGTGTGGAGAAACTGGCTAAAGCTCTGGCCTCAATCCCTTCTCTACAGAGTCTCAGGTACTACAGTCACTCTCGGAAATAACTTTATACTTATTAAATAAAACCTGAATTTTAGAACTGTTCATAAAACCCTCACTGTTTCGACACAATTATTCCACTTTCCACACTTCTAGTCTGTATGGAAATGCGATTGCTGACAGTGGAGCTGAACACCTGGCCTTGGTTTTACCAGACATGAAATTCCTGCAGGACTTGGAGTAAGTACTTATCCAAATTAAGTTTAATCCTCGAAATAGATTTGAACAACAAGAAAAAATATTTTGTTTCGGTAATTTTAGTATCTTAGTCATGTTTGACATTTGGTTTCTCCTTTGTTCTATTCTAATTGTCTTCAATTCAAATAAAATGTAAGAAATGTTATTTTATTACATTATATTATATCCATGCATTTCTTGTTATTTCCTTTTTAGTGTAAAGTTCAACAAGTTCACAGATACTGGAGCTACAAAGCTCAGTGCTGCTCTGAAAAACTGCAATGGAATGAAGTCTTTGGAGTGAGTGTCTAATCTTTAACATCATTTGGGATATTGGTCTCATAGGCCAGTTTGTTTTTTTTTTCATAACTTTTTTTCTTGTATTAGGTGTCAGGTAGCATCTCTACTAACTAACACTAAGCATCACATTTGAGCTAGTTGAAAAACAGAAGTTAATCTCTAAAATCTGACCAGTCACTAAGATTTTGAATTATGTCTATTATTATTCATCATTATATAGCTCATGCTTTTCATGATATGCAAATGATCTTGTTTTTCCTTCTTCCTCAGGCTGTGGAATGACTGCATTCCATATGGAGTTTTTGAACACCTTCGTCTTCAAGATTCACGGATAAGATCACTTTGACACATTTTTTAATGGCTACATAATAGACACTGTTACAATAAGCGAGGATTTTTGTTTTTTTACAAAAGCATCATTACCTATACAATTCATTAGTTCATCAATATTTGCCAGAGGACACTAAACTGCTTCAAAAAGTTGTTCAACTCTCTTACTGAAATTACTTTACATGTGACTTGCACTTTCTGAATTTTTTGTGGATATACTGTTTCTCAGCACTAAAGCTACTTATTGTTGTTGTTGTTTTTTTTACAATAAACAAGTTCTATGAGTTTGGTTTTCATGATTGTGACAGTTTCAGATAAATCAAACATATTTATAATGAATAAGAATAATTCAATTTGAACATTAGTTATTACTATTCAGTTATGGCTATCTATCTATCTGTCTATCTAAGCAATCCTATGTAACATGTTAATATATGTCAATTTATTTTTACTTGATGGATACACTAAAATTTAATTAATATTAAATTGAGTTTTAAATTTAGGATAGGCAATTTCAGGGAAGTCCACTGTTAACAGTATGTTTTTGTAATGTGGAAACAGATATTTGAAAGTCAAATGTGACACCATGGCAACACAAAAAGTGCAATTAATCATTTATTAAATATATATATAGAGAGAGAGTGGATAACTGAAACTCAAATATATCATTTTTTTCAGGCTGTCACAAATAAGCAGTTCCAAAGAGTCTTTTAGAAAAAAACCCAAGAACACCCTGTTTGTCTCATAATGTATTGCTCGTTTGAATATTATTAAAGGGAATGAAACCATGCTGAGGCAGACCATGTATAAATAAGCGAGTTGTCTGCAGGTAATAACAAGCCCTTGCCGGGCTGACACAGAATCCTGCTTGAGTGCTGAATGCCGAACTAAAAATAAATAGGCTAATGTGACATTTATATCCACAGTAGTGGTTAGTGCCCGAATTTGATCTCTGAGGAGACACTGACTGGCGGCTTCATGGAAAACCACATAGTGTGTTCGGCTTATCTGTTCCAGGTAAACATTCCATGTGGCACGGTGGCTTGCTTGCAGGTCAGTCCCCTGAACCTGGACAGCCTGTGGAGACACAACAATTAATACACATTTGTTATTTTTTTGAGTATGAATTAATCTAAAAACTGACCTTAACATTACTTACTCATTCATGAAAGTCATTTTTTCATAATTTGCCCACTGCAACATATTTTTTATGTCTGCAGAGATGATATGCAGTTCCCTTTGACAATGGCTCTCCAGACACCAAATGAATCGGCCAAATGACATCTTCCCCACAAAAGCGTCGTTTGGGATAGCCAGTCATAATAGTTTATTCCAGATATCCCTCAAAAACATCCAACTCAGTGTCTGTGTCATAGGGAATAGAGGCTGGGTCAGAGAGAACCCCCAAATCCACCAGTGCCTGGTCCATATCCTCTGGCAAAAATACTATCCCTACATTAAGGACTATGTATTCCATTAAAAAGGCATAGTAGAGAATTAAGACATTGACAAAAAATAGACCGAGATAAAACATATATGGAACCTCGTTGATTAGCGATTCCACTGAATCTAACTGAGAGTAAATTGAGTGTGTCATAGACTCCAAGACATATGATTCAGTCTCATTGGACAGACTGAATGAATTGAAAGCATTAAAACTGTTTATATAAGACAGGTCAGTGCGGATCTATCCATTTCAATCAAAAACGCAGTGATGAAACTCCCTTTTCAGCAGTAGTCCCCTTGCATTCCACTATACAGGCAATAAGTTAGTCAAGAACAGCATGTTTGAATGTTCCAAGGCCGCGCGCTGCTCTTTGACATTAGGACACAAATATCCCGAATCCCTCTCAAAAAGCTAGCGATGCATACAAATCAGAAATAAAAGTCGTCCAGAGGCTCGTAGAAGCTTTACAACGCGTGAAAAACAAAACAAACGGCGCTTTCTCATGACTTCACCAAAACCCTTCCGTTCGCACGGAACTATGGGAAATTGAGTCCGCGATGATCGAGTGACGGATGCGCCCTCCCTCTATCGACTTCAACAATAAACTACAAATCCCATAATGACTGTGTTAAGGTTTGGGCTGTCATGAGCGCTAGGTCGTCAGGTATGTTTTCATGTGAGGATTCTAGGCCTTCTCTACTGCGGATATGGATCCATTCTCGTAGCAAATTGTGTTAAAACATACATATTGGGATATAACAATAGCTAAGAAAATGTTCGGCCGTTCAAGGAGTTGGGTCGGAGGACAGGGGAAGTCCAAAAACATTCATTCTTTGGATCATTTGAAGTAAGTTTTATGGACCTTTTGCCGCTAAGTCGCTAGCTCAGCTCGTGCAGTTTTAGCTTTTTAATTCAGCCAGTGAATGTCATTACTGGGGAAAGTCACTAATAGTCCGTTTAGAAAATGTGAACATTTATATTACGCCCGACATAATTTATTTCTCGCATAAACAGTCTGTAGCAGTCGTAGACTTGGTGATAAAATCTAGTGAGCTGCCTACCAAGACATCATTTTGTGACATTTGGGGATGTAAGTTAACTTACATAATATGTTTACTACAAATTCTATAACATTAGCAGCTAGATTTTGAGCCTTAGCTGTAACGTTAGTTAGCACACGGTTATATGCTTTGGTGTGTTAGAATATTAAATACAGTTATCTGCTTTTATTAAATATATAACTAATTATAACTATTATACAGGAATGGATTAAAGACGTTATGATCTCAAATAAGTTAAATAAGTTACTTGGTTATAATATGAAATATATTGCGGCATTTAAGTAGTAGCCTGTTTTATTAATATTTCATTAGGTATATGTACCATGTCCTTACAAAGAACACAACAGTGACTGACCACAACAGAAATCTGCTGGTGGAAACTATTCGCTCCATTACTGAGATTCTCATCTGGGGTGATCAGAATGACAGCTCTGTCTTTGAGTGAGTTTCAAATCTCGTTCCAGTTTACACATGCTAGATGTGCAACAAAATGACAGTGTATCTAAATTACAAAATCACATTTTGATTGTAAGCATCATCCTCTCTTTGTAGCTTTTTTTTGGAGAAGAACATGTTTGCGTTTTTCCTCAACATACTACGGCAGAAATCCGGACGCTATGTGTGTGTCCAGCTTCTACAAACACTCAACATCCTTTTTGAGAACATCAGTCACGAGACTTCTCTCTGTGAGTAACCCCCCGGGACGAAGTTAAAGTTTGATGCCTTTTAACTATAAGTTTATGTCCTGAACATTCAATATGTCGTTTCTTTTTCTTTTTAGATTACTTGCTGTCCAATAATCATGTTAATTCCATTATTGTGCATAAATTTGACTTCTCTGACGAGGAAATTATGGCCTACTATATCTCCTTTCTGAAGACTTTATCTCTGAAACTCAACAACCACACAGTGCACTTCTTCTACAATGAGGTAAGGTGAATTTACTGGGGCAACTGACATTTTTCAAATGACGGTTTATATATATATATATATATATATGCGGAAAGCAAAGGGGCTTTTATTTGTGGTCTCGCATGCATTCTGTGTGTAACAAACAGACTATTTCCAGGAAGAGATAACAGTTCACCGTGACTTTGTAAAAACCATGTTTCCTGTGTGTTCATCCAACTTGAGCAATTACTTTCTTTCATTTTGGACAAATGCAGGCCAGCTGTAAGTTTACAACTGTTTTATGTGGATTGGAAAGTGACAGAAATGTTTCAGGGCTCCTTTGTATAGGGGAAAGTTATTGGTGTACTGTAAATGGTTGTAATTAACCGTCATGTGTTCTTTATTCCGTGGCACCTTTGATGCTGTTAATCATTGGTGTCAGGAATGGAGAGGGCCTGCGTGGAAGGATTTGCTCTATGAGAGATCTGATGCTGCACTGATTGTAAATATGTTCTCCTAATGTAAAATTGAAGTTAAAGTTAGTTAGTTCACCCCAAAATAATAATTCTGTCAATAATTACTCACCCTCATGTTGTTCCAACCCTGTAAGAGTTTCGTTCATCTTCGGAACACAAAAGAAGATATTTTTGGATTTCTGAGAGCTGTATCACTCCTCCATAGGCTTCTAAATGGATCAAAACTGGCCGGCTCAGAAAAGTTAAAGACATTGTTAAAATAGTCCTTTATCGTTATAAAGTGACTACAGTGGCTCAGCCTTAAGTTTATGAAGCAACGAGAATACTGTTTATGTCTAAAAAACAAACAAATAATGACTTTCAACTATTATTTTATTCCTTTGGCAATCTTGGGATATCATGTATATCATGTAAACCAATGCATGTTGCATGCCACTTACACAAAAAGTGTAGAATATAAACCCAGATCAGTGTAATGGATCTGAATGACATTATAACAAAGCAAAATGCTTGAGGAACACCATGACACTCTATTGAACTCATTATGGTTGTGATAGTGATAACCATAGCTACATTGTGGCATCTCGTGGTGAACAAGAATCATGGAAGGAGTTTAACTTGTATTGCTAACCAAACTAATGTAGGGAACAAAGGCATATTATTAGTAAATTAATTCTCTCAATCACAGCATAAAAATGAAATGAATCTCACTTGATTAGTTCTTCTTAAAGAGAAGTTTTAAGATTATTTTATCAATATATGTTTAGAATTTCTTCAAGCTTTTCCATTTCTTCATGGTTTATAATAATAGAATTGATAAAACGTGAAGAAATGATGAACATATATTGTTCTTTGATGGACTAAAAAATCTGTTTCAAATAAATGCTGCTTTTTTCTTCCATCAAAGAATCATAACAAAAATGTAGGTAACACTATTTTACAGTGTTCTTGTTGCTTTGTTACATGTACCTACTGTAGTAATTACAGTAAATTATGCCTAATTACATGCCAAAACCCTAACCCTAATTATAGCCAAATACATGTTAATTAATATTACTACTCAGTACGCAAATGTAGTTACATTGTAAAAAGGACATCTTAAAATAATGTCTAACCAAATTGTATCACGGTTTCCACAGAAATATTATGGTGCGTTCACATGCTATGGAAAAGATGATGTTTTCCAATTTTAAACTGGTATTTACCAGTGTGTTGTGTACAAGTGCTTTTGTTGTTTTTATGTGGTAAAAAGATGGAGATCCAGACCTGTTATTTAGCTAAAACTATTTTCGATTGCTTAAGTCATCTGCTACAGCATGAAAATGATTTATCAAAACTCAAACGGTAAATAATATGCGGTATATATTTTCTAGATCATGAATAGTATATATTTTTACCATTCACGACTCTCACGTTGCTCTCCGCCATTTTGAAAAGGTTAAAGGTTATCTCATCTCGGCAACTCTTATATCAAAATATTCTACAAGCTGCCCAGTGGAAAATACCACACGTGGGGGTGTTCATGTGCATTTTCCACGTTGGCTTTTGGTGTTTACCATAATTACCATAGCACATGAACGCACCATAACTTCATAATAATACGAAATGGTTATTGAGCAGCAAATCATCACATTAGAATGATTTCTGAAGAATAATGTGACACTGAAGACTGAAGGAATGATGCTGAAAACTCTAGCTTTACCATCACATTAAATAAATAAAATTTTAAATATATAACAATAGAAAATAGTTATTTTAAATTGTAATAATTTTTCAAAATATCGATATTTTTTTACTGTGTTTTTGTTAAAATAAATGCAGTCTTGGTTAGCATAGAAGACTTCTTTCAAACATATTCTCCAAACTTTTTTCAATCGTTAAATAATACCTAAATTATTCAATACTAAAAAAGAGTCGACTTCATTGAAGTACGTTGTGTGTGGACTATATATAACGAGGATTTGATTAGATGGATTTTAAACCATTTATCAGCCAGTAGCATTTTATTCGGGGACGCTTTTCGAGTTCAGTGATGCTATGCACCCATTTCTTCTGCTCTTTTAGAGGTCCTGGATTCACATAAGAGATAAAAGTACAAGGTTTTGTGTATTTGTCCCTAGTTGCAGTTCTCCTCTCTCTGAGCTAATCCTCCTTGCTGATGGCCTCGCTCTCTGTCTCCCATGCTTCTAGCACACTAATGATTTTGCCCTGTACACGGAGGCCATTAAGTTTTTCAACCACCCAGAGAGCATGGTCAGGATCGCGGTCAGGACTATCACACTCAATGTGTACAAAGGTGAGTAGAGCCCTGACGTACGATCCTTCTCTCTGCTGTCAATCGCTCTGTCATGCCTCTGATGCATGGGCATGCTGACTCTGCTCTCCGCCATCCGTGAGTAACGCACACTTACATTTAGCGATCGCTGCTGTCTCTACACACATGCACGTGCTCACTGGGGTTTCACTTGGGTATGGTCATGTGCTGAAAACAAAAGGGCTTTTGCTGACCCGTTTCTCTGGCTTGAGCTTTACATAAATCTGTCCTCCCTTCTTGAATAACTGACTTTACATTTCTTACTATCTGCTTGGTGCTTACCCTTGGATTGTGGTTCATCTTATAGCTAAACAATCAGTGTCTGTGGAGATCGTACCATTGGTGCATGTTACCGACGTTCACATGCATACAGTGACCCCAAATAATATTTGGAGGTGTAGCCAACACTTAAAAATGTATGAATGTCATTGCATTAAATAAACAACCTTCTTTCTTTAAAATAAAATGCCAGTTGTTGTTATATTTTATGCATAAAATAGGCAGAGCT